ATTATCGGTTGAAGTAGAAAGCAAACAAAAGTAGATTTCGCAAGTTTTTTTCTAGTGCAGGAAATCTATCTATCAACCTCTCTGAAAAACAAGCGTCGTCAGCTCGAACTCTATGAGATGGGGAAGGTTGAACGTACCCAAACACCAGATCCTACAAGGAAAGGAACGTTCTTCAGTCAAACCAGCTTCGAAAAGAGACAGGAGAGATGACTAACCATGGTACCAATGATAGCAACAGCATCCGAGAGCATGTGCTAGAAAGAAGAAGGCATTAGCTTCCAAAGGGCAGAGAGAGTAGAAGGAAGAAATGGCTGACATCTGTGATTATGTCAGCATGTAGTGGAAGAGGAGCAGGGGAAACACATACGTCTCATCATGAAATCTGAACCAGCAAGATGAGCGAACCCAGGGGCGCGTATACTACACCTGTATGGGTGGTTGGAGCCATCGCTGGATTGGGTTAACACGTCAACTGATGGAAGAAACGGGTAGAGGGAAAGGGTCACTCACGAAACGAGGTAGACGCCCATCTCCCCCTTGGGGGCCTCGATAGTGCTGTAAGTCTCGCCTGGGGGTACAGAGTACCCTTCACTGAAGATCTAGAACGAATATAAATCATCAACGGTTCTTATGAAACGAAGACGGCAACTTTACTTTGAAATGATGGATGAGCGACTCCATGCTCTCTTTCATCATAGCACGGGGTGGAGGCACAAGCTTGTGGTCGTCGACCTTCACAGCACCAGGGGTAATCTTGTTGAGCGCCTGGCTAATGATCCGCAAGCTCTCTCGCATCTCCTGGACACGGCACAAGTAGCGGTCATAGCAGTCACCGTTCTTGCCTACAGGAATGTCGAACTCAACCTGTCGAATCTCTTTGAGCCTTCTCCCTTTGGCAGAAGCAAAAAAACAAGCCACATACCTCATCGTACTTGTCGTACGGAGCCACCTTCCTCAAATCCCACGCAACCCCACTACCACGCAGCATAACCCCACTGAAACTATGATCCAATGCCTGCTTGGCAGTGACAGGTCCAATCCCAATCGTCCGCTCTTTCCAAATACGGTTGCCCGTGACGACCTCCTCAATCTCGTCAACCCTACTGCTGAATTGGGTTCCCCATTTGAAGATGTCGTCAAGGAGCCCGTGGGGGAGGTCGAAGGCTACATCTCACGGACGGACGTAGGCGGCGTGCAAACGCGCGCCGGAAACGCGTTCGTAGAATTCCATGAGCTTTTCGCGCTCTTCGAAGCCCCAGAGGAAGGGGTAAGACCACCGACGTCCATGACGTGTGTGAGGATGGCCATGAGATCTTTTAGGTGGGGTAAGATTGATTTAAGACGAGGCGAACACAGGTTATGGCTTACGGTTAAGAATTCGTGTTATTTCCCCAAAAAGAACTCGGATCCATTGGGCACAGGCAGGCACCTCGATGTTCAGAAGCTTTTCTACCGCTAGCGAGTAGCAGAGCTCGTTCGTCACTGTTGTGGGTACAGGTAAGTTGGTGAAAGAAGAGAAGAGGTGATAGCATACTCATTGAAACGTAGTCGAGACGGTCAAAGTAGGGTAGGGCTTGGATGTACGTCTTGTATTCAATAAGTTTCTCTGTACCGCGATGAAGCAGACCGATGTGCTGGAAATGAAGTAAGCCTGGGGGTTCCGAACTAAAGGGTTGCACGTACTGGGTCCGCTCGCAGAATCTCTTCTCCATTGAGTTCCAGAATCATACGCAGCACACCGTGGGCAGCTGGATGCTGAGGACTATCCGCGACGTTTAGTCCTCAACGTCCTTTTTGCAGAATGGATGGCTTACCCGAAGTTAACTACAGCAAACATCAGCAACAATATGAGCAACAAACCCATTACTTACCTGTGAAATGCCTCATTTTCGCATCCTCTTTACTTCCTGGCGTTGGCAAGATTTCCGAAGCGTCCAAATGCTGCAAATCCTCCACGGTATGATAGTCGAAAGCAGTTTTTGCCCCCTCCTCAAGAGACGGTTCAGCAGCCCGCCGAGCAACGGGGGTTGCACATATATTCCTGCGTAAAAGCCGCGACGCAGGCGTCGTCCTCGTCGTTGTTCGCGCCAACGAGCGCAGTAGCACGGAAGACATTGGTCGCTGTTCAAGGCAACGTCAACGATGTCGATTCCTCGTCGGAGTTGGGCGGGAAGGTGTGACAGGCGTGACAACAACTGGTGTCCCTGCCTAAACGTGTCGACGCCCAGTGGCAATTCAAAGTAATGTTGTCAAGAACATGCTACAAGGCGAACCTCGTCATTCTAGGCCTGATTACCATCGCTATAGCTGACGTCGACAAACCGTGCACAATTCACGATGACGGGAAATTCTATGACTTGAATACTTTGAAGGCGAGGTACGCAGGCGGAGTCATGTCTCGTAGTTTTCGTATTCATCGAGGTTCTGTCTAGCAAAGATTATGAGGTCAAGTGGCCGGGGGGAAGAACGTTCGCAATAAATGTCTGCCAGGCTGTAAAGACAGAAACGTTTGGTTTAGTCGTGAATTGAAGAAGATTATTCTGCATTACAACCCTTAAGCCCATCCGAGGTGTGGGGATCGCATCATATGGCAGAATAAATGGGATGGGTCGTGTACCTTCATGAAGGAAAAGGTCACAGATGCGGTTGAGGTAGGGTAAAAGGGTCCGACGAAAAGAGAAGAAAGCCTGTTGGACGATCAATAGAGAGGAAGGGTGTCAAAGAAGCGTTTACCTACCAAGGTGCACACACATATCGACGTTGATGTTGGGTTTATACCCATATCAACGAGAATCTTCTTCCCATTAGCAGGATCGTTAATTTCTGATGCTCAACTGAACAAAGTTGAACAACAAACATCTATTCGAAAGTATGGCCTTAGCCTGGTGCGTATCCATGACGGTGTCACGGAGATGAAGATCCAAAATGCATCTTCCTCTGAAGCCAAGGGTAAAGGCTGCCCAACGATGAGCGTTAATCCTGGCGAGATAAGCGTTAGCCTGATGACGTAGAGAGGACAGGAAGTGGGAACATGCCTCTCGAATACTGAATGCCAGGGACCATGTTGATATACGTCTGGAACAAATTCAACACCGGCCCCTGCAAATGGGGTTGGTCCTAGAAGAACCGCGATCCCATATCTTTCTCAATCTCCCCAGAAGCAGGGACACCTCCCCTCGAACACGTAAGGTGTACCCAAACAAGGTAACACACGGAAGACGGAACAGCTTCTCGCAACACCTTCTTGCTCTGATATGCCTGCGCCGGAGGCCACGTGGATATCAGCGCCATCCATTTAGATTCCCGTTGACGATGAGCGTCCATGGAGGATTCAGCGTCACCTGCTGGACTCGGTGTTATCGCGGAAATGTTGGTGAGGGACGGCGACGATCAGGGCCCGTCTACAGTAGGGGACCGATGCACGGGCGCATCACCTCCAAACCAACAGAGACAGCAGGAATATCAGCACGCAAGAATCCATCTTGGCGTAAATCCAAGGAATGAGTCTCGCGGACTAGAAGATTCTAGTCTTCACTCGCCCTTGCAGCCTGTGACTGCGCAAAATGAGGCTGCGCAAGTTCGAACACCGTATCCTGCACCTGCAACATCTCCTGCTCTGCTGCATGGTCGATGGAAAGAGCCCAAGCTATCCTGGCGACTACGGTTCTTGCGAGGGGTTAGGAAGGGAAAGTTTTGTTAGCAAAGATGGCTGACGGCCAAGGCTTCCAGAGGGAAAGGAGGTAGATTGGAATCGGGAGCTGTGAATCGATGCTGCGTCCGTCATGTCCTGCGTCAATGAAGAAGATGGGGGAGCGGGTGAGGTGCCACCAATTTGAGTAGATTGACTTTGATTCTGGGGTGGAGACTTGAAAAACGAGGGCGCTTGTAGTGGTGGAGAAGGCAATGTTCCTGGTCCCGAAGAAGCTAAAAGCCCAAAAGCCTGGGAGGGCTTCGGAATCAGCCCGCCTCTCTCTTTAACTTTCTTGGGAAAAGGAGGTTGGTTCAATGTCCACCTGGATGTGAGATGTCTCAAGCCCCTGTTCAATGGCACCAGAAGCGTTACCATGAGTCGGGGACGAAGGCGGCAGTGAGGGGAGTGTTGGAGACTGAGCAGATGGTACCATTACGGACTGTGCCAAGGGGCTACTAGGCGACTTCAACGCGACTGCACCAGGACGCAATCCGCCCCCTGTGATGGTGTTCCGCAGCAGGGAGAGTGTGGGAGGGAGTCGGGGATGAAAGGGGGAAGTCTTGGTGGTGGTTTGCCATTAGGTGTTGGGGAGATGTTGAAGAGTTGTTACGCCAAGAGAGGGGGAAGATGTGGATTGCTTGAAACCGGACAGATCATCACGACCAAACCTACAGAGCAAGTTATCGAGTTAGAATCATTCCAGGCCAAAAAACGTTGGATACACATACCTTCGTTGGACAGGGGGGCACGACTTCTAGGTTCTTAGTTTTAGTTTCAGAGTTGAATCCCGAGAAACTCCTCAATCGTGGGCTTGACCCAGGTCCTTTGGGGAAGAAAATAGGTCATGGAATGACGCCTCCAGCAGCCTTTGTTCTGTAGCTAACACGGCACCACCAGCCCCTCAGATGAGGACTCAGGAGGAAGATTCTTTGTAGAGTACGTGCATCCTAAACAAAATGTTGGTCACAGTCTGTCAATCATGGTAGGGTGCAACCTACCATTAAAGTGCTGAAACATGAGGATACCTGAGCTCCAGGGCTTGTCCTAGGATTGGGCAATAATATAACGTAGTTTACGACGAGGCAGAACATACTTCTGATGTTGCTCTTGCCCAAAGCTGTATGAGCTCCATCTTTCAAACACAATCGTCGTGAGGCCTTCGAAGACCGGAATCTGGAGAGCGGTTGCGTCAAGCTGTACCAGGCATCCCCGAGCTCCATCTTCTACGAACTCACAACGTCCGGAAGGTCAATATTTGTCTTTGTTGTACTTGAAGCTGTGTTCTGGAACACCGCCACTCCGAGTCCATCACTCAGTACTCACCAATCGCGACAAAACTCCGTGAAACATGGCTTTCGATCTAAAATACAGCACGCTATTTCTATCACCCGAGAAATTCGGATACGATTCGGAAAGCAAGCACAAACTTTACGAGGTCAACCTGCCAATCGTGTTAAATTACAATCACTGTACTCAAATTTTGCACCATCCAGACTATCTGCAAAGCTTTCGACACATCCCCCACTCAAAATGGGGCCGGGCACAACTTTTTCTTAAGGGTGAAACAGGATAATAAATCTGTGAGATAATCAAGTGAGATGGAGTACTCATAACTTACTACCTTTTGGCATCATCAAGGAGAAGGATCCATGGTATGAACATGCTGAATGCCCAGTAATTTTTTCCTCATGTAGAAATCCATATATTTAACACACACTCCTTCAAATTGTGCTAATAGATTTGCCAAATGGAAGAAAATGCCACTCAGCTTCTGTCATGTGGGTGCAAAAAGGTCATTTATTCCTTGGTAAGATTCTTCAGCCACTTCCACACACTATGTATCCTAATGCTAAAATTTTTGAAACAAGAAATGCATTAATTCTTGGGCCGAGGAAAATGACAACAATCTAACATGTGTGTCTTTCTATAGCTACAAACTATAGGTCTCACAAGTCATCGTTAGGTCCACTTTGCCGAGCTTCGGTTTTTTCGATCCACAAATCTTGGATTCTTCTGAACAAGGAAGATCGAAATGTCAGGTGGCAGTTGAAAAAGAAAAGTGCATCAAGGAAAAAACACCAGAAGACCTATGAGAAGCGGAGGTTGAAGCGGGAACTTCAACAAAACACCGCTGGACCATCAAATCATAACCGATTGGAAAACTCACAAGCTGGTGACGATAGCTTCAAAGAATGGCTTCAAAGTATCAAGCGGGTCAAGCTAAAATTCTGAGCTGTTCAGAAATGTAGTGTTTAAACTCTTGAATTAACTTGAGATTTGATATGCATTCTGGAAAGTGACATCCACAATTTGTCCATGATGAACATCTGCTGCATCATTTGATTCTGCCACACATGAGGTTTTATTTCCAAAGTTGAAAAACATCTTTCCATAGCATGTTGGTACTCATCTTCAACTTTCGTAGTACAACTTTCATTCACTTATTTAGTCACTTTGGATCTCAAGTATGACATAAACAGAAAAGAGAATAGCACTGATGTTCAGTATCTAATACACGATCATGTACATGATGTACAGCAGACGAGTACTGGATAAAGCCCTAGCTAGAGACTACTTTGGAGACTTCTCGCCTACATCCATCCAGTCACCGCTACTCGATTTCAAATTTGCCTGCAACCGCTATCTATGGGGTTCGTTTGCTGGTCTGGAGGAGCAATGAGATTGCACATTAGCATGCACAAGAATGAGGGTGACATGGCACACACCAATGCCCCATCCTCCTAGTCTCCCATAGGCTACTCCTATGATGATGTTGATGACAGTCAATCTCCCTCATGAAAGGCTAGATCGGTGGCGAGAACTATATCAGAAGAGAAGTCAAATCAATAACCCATCCGCCCTGAGGGAGAAAGGTGAAAACTTACACAGTGCATGGGTCTTACAGCTCCATTTCCCTCATTGTGTGTTTCACGAGAGTTGCCAGTGACTGCTTGCTAAAGTATGAAGCAACCTGCAAGGATGAGTGTTATATTAAGGCCAATACAGAGAGTAATGAGAGAGGTTCATACTGTCGTTGAGGCAAGATCTGTTGAACTGTCCTACTTTAGAAAGACTGCAATTTCAAGGAGAGTTGAATGGAACGACCAACGAACACTTACCAGATGTATTGTCATGAGTAGCTAAGGTGCGGTTTGGATGGGTTGCCGATGATGTGAAGGCGAGACCTAAATTTGTGGACAAGTGGAGGGGAAGATAGGTGGATGACTGTGAGGGTAAGACAGGTGGAGAAGAGGGTGAGTGGCGACCTACCAATACAATCGGTATCAGCAAAGGGGGGGAGTCAAGGGGGAGCTGGTGGGGAAGGGAGAAAGCAAGGCAAATTTTATCTTCTGAGTCTTCACAAGCCCGCCGGTTCAAGTCCACTGAAATAGGCTGAAATCGGGTCTTACCGATTTGAGCAGATGTTCAGACTATATAGAAGATGAGCCAAATCTGCTGACTTGTGTTGTGTTACAAACATTGCTAAAACTTACCTGCTGAGATCGGGCGAGTTATGATGAAATCTGACCATGGTTTAGGGCTCTTCTGCATCTCCACAGGCGGCACCTTCCCATCCCTAGTGCCCACAGTAATGTACATCCGTTCCCTCACAACAACCCCGAAACGAACAGCGCACCCTCCTGCCGTTCGCCGCCCACCTTCTTCAACACCTACATCATTCACAGACACAGCCATCACCCTCCCATCCCAAACCATGCTCTCCCTGAGCCTGCCTTGAGCAAAGATGGAGAGCTGGATGCTTGGAACCCCGCACACCGATCCCACAACTCCTCAACGCGGGCAGCTCAGTCCTATGCACGATAATGAGGTGCGGCCTCTTCATCAACCTCCCAGACTTCTTCAGCTGATCACAAAACTTTTCCCCCTCCGTCCCCGCAAGCTGCACATCGAACAAATCCACAAAAGGCAGGAGCCCATGATACCTCGCCTCCGCCTTCTTCTTGGGTTTGTCGGGCTTCTTTAACGAGGGCTTGTACCCCTTCACCACTCTATCCCCTCCCTGACTTTCACCTCACCCAGATAAGAGATCCCCAAGATCCTCGCTACACCCATCGACAGCCCTCTCCAACGCCTCTTCGAGCGAATCCTCCAGCTCCATCTGAATGCACTCGTTCACCTCGATCGGAGCAAGTTCTTCCATCGGGTTGATGAACATACACACAAACTCTTTGTGTGCTTTACAGGCCAAGGGGCTGGTGGAAAAGTGCAGAGGGGGAGAGCCAGTGAAGAGCGTAAAGTTGGGGATGTGGTGTTTAGAGGCCCTCCTGCAGGCTCCGAAACGTCCATGGCATCCAGGGCTTGGGCTCGGTGTGCTGCGAGGCCGAGGACGCAGTTCCATCGTGAGGAGAATGTGTTGGTAGGGTATAGTAAGGGAGATGTCTCCGTAGGTGGGTGAGGTGGGATTTTCGGAGCGTTGGGAGGGATTTGCGGACGGTCGCCATTGGCGAAGGTGAGGGTGCTGGGCTATCCATTAGGGTAGGGGGAGTGAGAAGAGTTTTTGGCAGGTGACTTGACCGATAGATGGGAGGTTCAGAGGTGGGCCTCCTCGTGCGAATGTCGGCCCTATGCTCTGTCAGTACGTTTCTCAGGTTTTGAGAGTAAAATGCGTACCAACTGCAAGACCTGCCAACAGGTCCACCTCCTCAAGCACATCAAGCAATTTCTCCTCTGACTCTGGTAGCGCTTCTCCAGTAGGCGTGGTAGGAGATTCCAGGGGCTGGAGACCCAGGGTGGCTAGATACTTTGCGAGAGGTTGCTTGTCATTGATGATCCTCGAAGTGTTGCAGACACAGTGAAGCAAAGCGATGGATTTGAGAAGTTGAGGCAGAGGAAAGCTGGGGTGATAATACATTAGAACGATCTAAAGGCACGAAAGAGGAGCAGATCTCTACAAACGGTCAACGAAAGCCGGTAAACGGCAACACACCTCTTCAGACGAAGGAAGGGAGAATGCCTCAGGAGAGTTTTCTGCTGTATTCCCGCATATGTTGGCCAGTAAGAGAGTCCCCTCGGATGATACCATACTTTCGATCTTGTTCCCCTGTTGAGGAGGACGAAGACTAGATGTATGAGGTCACGGCGCAGAGAATCGAAATGTGGGCGCTTGATGTGAGGCATAAGAAGTGATCTAGTTGGATTGTGCCAGATCTCGTCCAAAGTTCGAACAGGGGAGTCCTCAATTCTTCCAGATGACCTTGCCCTTTTTCCTTGCCTTTTTCAGAGGACACTCTTGAACAGCAGCTGTGTTTTCCCATTTTCAAATTTGTCATGTGCGGCCATAACGTTGAACACTGCATTTCCTCTCTACAAGTCGCAACCGTACATTTCGAAATCTTTGCTAACTTCACTAGGCTCTCTGAACACCAACTTCAATCGCATTCGGTCGCTTGTAGCCTCACGCGCCACACATTTACGACTTAAAGGCTACACGGGCTATATGGACACGAGAAATGACCACCAAGGTCTGTTTTATTGCCCGCTTTATCTATCGTTGACTGGGTTGCAGATCAAGAGGATGGCCAAGATGCCTCGGCGCGACACGCTTTCACCAACTCTCGCCCCAGCTCCCTTCCGTACTCGGGTGTTGAGGCCTGGTCCCTGCCGTTTTGTTTGACAGACAATGGCACCTCCAGCGTCCAAGAACCCCTCCTCTCTTCGACATTAACGAGCGTACATGAACTCTGCACACGCTTCCTCCCAAGAACCGCCTTGCGTCTCCATATGTGACAAGACCGCCACCCCACCACGTAGAAGATACAGATGACAGCAGCCAGGACCCATCGCACATAACCCTGCCCCCGTCGTCAACTGCTCTTTGTTGCGTGCGATGTGCAGCAACATTTCATCCTGTGGGGAAAGGAAGCGAGGCGTTCGTTCTACTGAGGTGTGGGCACGGCTTTGACAGGTGCAGCCTTGAGGCGATAGCAAGACCACCACCACAAGATCGATCTGTGGTAAGTACAGATCTCATCACCCTCTCATTCTTGTACTAACATTTGGCCTTTTAGGTGCAGCAACAAGGGTGTGCTACACTGAGCCTCATAGATACAGGTTCTCTCTTCCTTACCACCATCATCTCCACCGACCTTCAGCGCCAGTTCTCGTCACTACCACTAACACCAACCTTCACACCCCCAACAACACTTTAACACGCACGCACGTCGCAACATGTCTGGACGCGGAAAAGGTGGCAAGGTGAGCTCAAAATGCAAGGTAGATGGTATTCAGCTATTGACGCATTCTTTCCCAGGGTCTCGGCAAAGGTGGTGCTAAACGTCACCGTAAGACTCTTCGCTACAACATCCAAGGTGCGTCGATGCCACCATTGTCCTTTCATACAACCCAATTTACACCCTGTATACTACCCAGGTATCACGAAACCCGCTATCCGTCGTCTCACTCGCCGTGGCGGTGTAAAGCGTATCTCTGGTCTCATCTACGAAGAAACCCGTGGTGTCCTCAAGATCTTCCTTGAGAACGTTATCCGGGAATCCGTCACCTACACTGAGCACGCTAACCGGTACGCGGCCTTCTTATCCTCCTGTCTTTCCCCGCTGACCTGGTATACTGCAGGAAAACTGTCACGGCTCTCGACGTCGTCTACGCCCTCAGGCGTTCTGGTCGTACCCTCTACGGATTTGGTGCTTAGACTCGTGTAATATGATTGCTTCACTATACACTGCCCACTTTATGATTCTGTTCTCGACATGTACTACCATTTGAATGCCTATTACAATCTATGTTCTGATACTCCCACCAAGCATAGAGAGTGGAAGACAATTGGAGGCGATAGTGGGGCAGCAAGGATCAAGCCCACTCCATAACACAGTTTGACAGTGGTGTTGCCCTGGCCCCGGCTGCCGACGGCGATATACAATGTATGTATGCAGCAACTTTCAACTCTTCATCCGGTGCATCAGACTTATTAATGCCAATTTGGAGGCCTTGATAGTTTCTTCTGTTGACTTTTTTCAGTTGCCTGTTGGAGAAGATCATGTTGGGTTGGTGGTGCGGTGAATGTGAAGAAAAGCGTACCTAAGGAAGTACCAGAAGCGCGGCTTGGCAACGACCTCGTTGGGCGCAAAGATGCGCATGTGAGGGTAGGGTCTGCCTCGGTAGGCAAGTGGCGTCCGACGACCTGGTATTCTTGAAGACCCATTCTAACGAAATGGTTAGGATTCACTTTTACAGGACCCCGCCAAAATGTTCCAACGCCAATTCACCCGATAGAATCCATTGTTTCGACGATAAACAGCAGAATCCCAAACCCAATGGCGCGGAAACACAATATACGAGCGTAGAGGCACTCACGTTGAGAATTGGCGTGTTCTTGAGGGGGTTGGACGACGTCGAGTGTAATCCATCTACACAGCCACCGCTCCGACACGAGAAATCGACCGGATGCCAAACGATCAACCTGATTGAAATTCCGGAGAAAGCAACGAATGGAGCTTGCCTAGTATTACATGCATGGACAGTGACACAGTTCTGATCTAACAACAGTACAAGATGGCGGCACAGCGTCTCCAAATGAATTGAAATTAGCCTATGGCCATATCCAATATCTGTCGGCGAGCCATTCTGAGGTTTCATTGAGAAAATCACGCCTTTGATCACTTGAGCGATAAGCCTATGCTGGGCCTCGACGGCAATCCTCGTGCTAACATAGCAGTCAGCATAGAATAAACCGGAAAGGCAGCGCACAAACCTGTCCTTGACGCTTTTTGCCAGTTTGTTGTCATCCTTCTTCTTCTCTTCCTTCTCTTACCGCTGCAGACAGATGGTAAGACGATGATTGATACTAGGCTCAGTTTGGCTTACCTTTTGTTTACCAGTTCCGGTGTCCTTCTCCATGAGAGTGGGTACATGGGCCCGTGTAGAGTTGACAGAGGACTGTGCCTTCGCAAGCTTCTGGTGTAGATCAGAAAGCTGTTGACACAGAATACACCTTATTCTATTGGGAGTCAGCATTCTTCTCCGAAGGTTATATAGAGGATAGCAGCCAACGCTCACCAAAATCAGCGGGCTCTGGCTCAACATGTTCACTCAGTGATTGTTCCACAACAACGCCAACAATTCGTTATCTAAACTCAACTTAAAAATCTCCACGTTAACCTGATAGTACTGATTCGCATGGACACCGAAATCTTCAATCTTGCTCAGCAGGATTGACTGATCTTCCGATGCGGATGCATATATTGGAGCGTAGTTTTCGGGGTACGTCCGGAATGCGCCAATATCGACCTTTCCCGCATAAATGGTGCGATTTGGACCAATCTGCACAAAATGAGGTGAAAGATAGTGCTGTAACAAAAAACAGACGCACGACGACCGCCAAGAATGGATTCTGGAACTTCTGGTTGTTCATCTGGGTTTTCACATCGATACCGGAAAGCCAAGATATCCACGATGGGAGTGGTAATACCACCCGATAGCGTTTTCCAATCTCCCTGCCTGAGATATGAAAGGATGAGAAGGGGTGCGGATTATTCGAAGGCGAAGGATAGATTAGAGGGAAGAGGGATGGACACACCTTCTCACTGCCTTGGATAAACTTCACCATGTATTCGTTGGCCTCATTAGCCGCATTGGCATGAGTCTCAGTTCCCTGTACGGGCAGAGCGAGTAGTGGAAGAGGATTCGCAACGGTCCGTCTTTACCTGCTTCTGACGGAAATGAAGCCTGAACGTTCTGGGGGGAACGAAACATCGGGGGATCGCTGCAACAACATCAACATGTAGTATTTCACGATAGAAGTAAATGTCATACTCATATCTCGCCCGATAACTCTCACTCGATGTTCAGGAGGCTACCGAAATACACCACCACGAGCAGGGATATAGGGCGGAAAACACCGACGTTTGTGCAGTTCTCGTGTGCCGTAAGCCATACAGGGAAGTTTGGAGATACAACGTCGTAGTGGGCTTAACACGATGCAAGCCATAGAATCGACTGAGGAGTGTGTGCGGATTCTCCTTGACGTGATCGAAGTACTGCGGAACAAGAACTTGTGCTCTGAGTATCGAATCGTCTTGATGATGAAGCAGTAGCCACGAGAAAGGTGAAAGAAGGAGCCTGATTTGCCTGGGGAGCCAAGTTCAGAGAGGATGTATTTGGCTGCGAGGGAAAGGAGGTAGTCTGTGGGGTCGAAATGAAAGATGTCCTCGGTGCGGAAAACCCCGGGCGCGCGTAAACCTTGAACTTGAAATCGTACTTGGTGGATGGAGTCAGTTCGTTTCCAACAATACCGAACGAGAACTTGTGATGGGCAGTAGAGTCTTCTCTCGTTAGTGGTCATTTTATGTTAGCTTGACATTGAGAAACCTGAGTGGGTTCAGCGTGTATTGATAAGGAGATGGAACAAAGAAGCTCACCTCGATACGAATGCACGTCAACATGTTGTACATCAGGACATAGTTCACATGGTCCTCCCCAATGAGGTTGCCCACGAGCGGCGTATCCTGCTCCGACTTGTGTCGCGTTTCAAATCGCGTAAGAGCGCCTCTGCCTCTTGCTACTACTTTGCCCTCTTCGGTATCCCCCTTCGAATCTGCTACGCAGCGATTTCGATGTCCGACACCAGCTCTATCCCAGCCTCACCAATATACGACGTATCATCATCATGCGAAGACCCAAATTGCCTCGTACGTGTCTGGCCACGCTTGAAACTGGTAGCAATGGAACCTGAACCTGTTGTATTCCTTCTCGTTGGGCGGAGGGGCATGACAGCGATGGGAGGCTGAAGATACGGATCTGCAGAGGCTTATGCTCACTTTGAGGATTCGGTGGTAGGCGGAGAGACGTAACGACGGGTTGGAAAACCTTTCGTGTCGATTGAAAGCCGCTGGAGGGTGTCGAAGGTGGAAGACCCGGACGTGAGTCATGATTCTCGACGTTCTCGGGTGGTGGAGAACTCGCGAATGACGGAATCTGAATGCGACGCGTCTACTAGACGGCTGGGGGGCTTTAGTTCATCTCTTTCAATGCTGGCAGACCTATCGACTTCCACCAATCGCTATCCTAGCATGACGTGGTCCTCCCTCGTTTCTTGTTGATGTTGCCAGCTAATAGCTATGCGCAATCAGTTTATGAAGATCTGGCAAAGAGATCGACGTACCTGTGTCATTCAATCCCTTCCTCGCGTCGCCACGTCACCGCCTCTCTTCCACCTCTCCAGGGCTCCCCACGGCGTATCGACGTCCACCAAATCCGTTTGGGACATTGTTGATGTTCAGCGAGCCGGCCGCGCGTTGTAGCTTTTGAACTTAAGTAAGTTCTACATTGCTTTGAGTTCTAAGGCGGTTACTTACTTCTTTGAGAATCGTTTACGTGCATTACCAGCTTCCGAAGGTTCTCTGGCTTTGCAACGTCACTAACTGCACCCTAGCCGCCTTCAAGACGAGTCCGTCGTCGAGTTATGACGGGTCTGCCGTCGATTGTCAAAGTAAGTCCGTTGTTATGCGAATATTCATGGCCGTACCTTTGAAACTTAGCCATCCCCTCCAATCGACCTTGCCAAGGTTCAACAGAACGTATCGACGCCCGCCAAACGTGCTGGGGACACTGTTGATCTTCTGCAAATCGGCCACACATTGTAGCTTTCAAATATACGTGAGTTTTACATTGATCTGAGGGCCGAGTGATCACTTACATCTTTCGAAGTCGTCAACACACGTTATCTCCTTGTGAAAGTTTGTCTGCCTTCCTCACGTCACGAACTACGCCCTAAATGGTGAATAGACATCGTATTCCTCTGCGAATATTTGTTCATTCGAAGTGATTGTGCGGAGGAGACTGATGAGGATAATTACGTTGAGAGTCGATTGGGTCTGGGGAAAGAGCGATTATGTGGGCTCCGCGTTGGAGTAGTGATTGGAGAATTTTCAGGCCCAGTGGTGTAAATCTGCTTTGGATGGTGTTCTCAGCGGTCAAGCCGCAGAGCAATGCGAAATGCAGTTGTACTCACAGTTATCAACACCGTTTTGGCATGAAGATCTTGTTCACGGGTTGTTCGTCGGCCTTTGCAGACGTGAGGACAACTACAATCCCAACGACGATGTGGACGATGAGAAAGCTCTTAGAGAATGCGAAGGGAGGGTTTGAACGTACAGGTTTTGTCCATGCTGATGAAGGGGTGAAACTGACGATCAGATTTAGCTGGAGATAACGGAGCGTGACGTGACTCGATCAGCCTCGTTGTATTTCCCCCCGAAAAGGTGACGGACTGATATGTGTTGATCTCTTCGTGTCTCTACAATTTCGATTTCCCGACACACTGGCAGATTAACTGGCGGATTCAGGACTCGGAATCAGTGGGGAAGTCGATCCGTAGCAACACTTAAATTCGACGAACTGAGGCGGCATGCAGGCAATATTTGAGAATCAACCAGAATGCGTGAACGTATCTCCCTACGAAGTTACATGCACCAGATGCAACAAATTGTTCTCGAGCTTGACCGTAGAAGACCCTACTACCACGTCCAGCCGCCAGCACTGGGAAAAACACAGCGTACCTGGGATCTCAAGCCTCCCAGGTATCGAAAAACCCGTAAACTTATCAGATCATAATTGAAGTTTTTCAGGAATCCAAATGAGGCGGACCGTGAAAAGAAGGTTGAATCGCGGACTCATTGTCTGAAACATAGGCTGACCTGTACGTCTTTTGCTGCTTAATTCCCATTACGACTATTTTCAGCAACATTTTGCCTGTACTATCCAGCGCATGGCCAGATGGTCAGTCGTTTACTGTCAAAATCGCCTCCAGGCCAAAACATCGCTTTCCCACAATGGATGTAAAACCTCTGATTGGCCCGATGGTGCAACACCTACTATCCCGGGCCCGAAGACTGTGCATGTGGAACAATGGGAACCGCCCAGAGCAATGTCTCTTCTTCGGCCGCCAGCCTCCAGGTACGTATTCTTTTGGAGGCGATCCAAGAACTTCAATTCGATGTCCAGTTTACACACTCTATCACCACCATATCCGTAACACAGCTTGCTTTTTCGGGGAACCATAGATAGCGACTACTCACATCGTTCTTCGTAATTGCACTTGCTAGAACGTTTAGAGAATGATGCCTCTTCGTTGTTGGAGTCTAAAATGCCAATGACGAGTGTGTACTCAACCTCGAACAAAATGGCTCACTTACATGTTCTCTATCATTGATGAAGTAGCCAAGAAGTACTGGCCAAGGTCAAAATATGTGCACTAGATTAGTTTTGAATGATATGTAGGTAGACACCAGAGAAATCGCCAACTACATTGATCATGACCATCAAATTTCCTCAGAATCCTCCAGAATGACTACGAATCCATATTAGTTGTTTGTTTCTGAGACTGAAGTCTCCGCACTTCATCTAATCAAATCCAAAGATTAGGTTATGAAATTTCAAAAGAAGGTAACTCACCTTGCCAGGACTGGTCTGCCACAACAACATCTCCAGGCACATACACATCATCTTCCTTTCCAAAACGCTTCCAAAACCAGCCAACCGATTCCTGAGACCCCAAGAGGTTTTCGGCAGGTTCCCAACTTTAGTTGCAAGGTTAATGATTTGTAGGTGAGCATTGCGAACTCAAACCCTTACCTGCTTTCGCCTACCTCGTATCCAAGCCACTTCAGCGAGTGATGAGGATGTCAGTATGAGTACAAAGTTAACAGTACCGACTTTGATTAAATACTCCTGCCACACATAGTTTGTAGTTTAGCATGACAGGTCAGTGGAAGTCATGGCTACTATACCCAAACACATTTTGTGGTTCCGTCATCCCTCCTGATTGTAATGAGACGTGCTTTGAGAATGGTTTCTATGGTTGTATTAGCTTTGACAAAGTACGGACAGAAAACGGATAGTATCTATTCACCAACGTGATACAATTCCATCCCACTTCCGACATCGGGAACGGTAACGGGGCCTGTATTTGATCCCTTGTTGCGAGAATTTAGACCTGTAGATTTTCTTGGCATTGCTAGCGCTCTTGGTTTTGATGGTATGAATAATGAAATGTATCCAATCGTCATCACATGTCAACAATATATTATGTCAGTATGAAGAAGATATTGTGACATGTCACACTCTTCACGTGCCTTGCGGGCCGGACTCCCGAGCCACAAGTCTGTTCTTTGACGAGCCCTTTAAAGTTTATACTCAGTGTCTGGATGACTGTTCGCGACGTTGGCCACTGTTTACCTCGACACCTCGCCTTGTCACGGCCACCTGCTACAATTCACGACGTCTTCGCAGCATACGATGATAAACTTGGACTGTGAGTACCATATTAGACCATATTCTCTTTCCCGCAAGTTTTCCACTAACAAAAAGTATAAGATTTCGTTCTGCTACCTACTACAAACCGAAACGACACGCGAAGCGACACGCGAGAAGACGAGAAAGACGATGATAATACTTACACGAAGATGCGCATGTCGTGGGTGAGCTTTTGAAAGGTGGATGAGAGGCGGCGACGCGAGTAAGCGATTGAATGACCAAGGTACGTCGATCCTTGTGCCAAATCGTCATATACTGACTGTGCGTACGTCATTCCAGCCTGCAACATCAAGAAACGAGTCATGGGAGGGCCACGTCGTGCCGATATAGCGAATGCCGGAAGTTGATACCTTGCGTCGGCGCAAGGTGGGACGGTGATGACTCTCAACGAAACGGGTAAGTGCTTCGTGCTTAGGTGCTGAAACACTTGACAAACTTTCTTATTCTTTTCTTTTTTTTTTCTTTTCAAAGTTTTCAACGGCAGCTAAACCATCCAACATAACCCACGCGTGGACAGGGCGTTTAACGGATGGCAGGACCTCGTCTCAAAGCCTGGGGGACTGATGGCGCGGTGGAAGGGTGGAAGATGACATGTGACTGATTTGCGGAAGACGATACGTCGTCTTCGGGTCAGGAGGGATGCAGGACATTGTGGAACGGTTGGAAAAACCTGACAGCACGTCGAGAGGGCGTTTAGCGAATAGCAACAGGTCATCTCGATGCTCGCAAGATTCATGGCGAGGTGAAGGGTTCCGGTGATTTGGTTAGCGTCGCCGGAGACTGTCCTTCAGGTTAGTTGACTCGTTTGGCTTGGTGTGTTTCTGATTCTTGTGTAGGCTGCAGAATAGGTGAGGTTTTTTATGTATATGAGGTTTCGCTTTTGACGATTATTCGGTTAGAACGTAACCTGGGTTTGACGTGCGACCCCACTGATGGACTTGTTTGGCACATTCCATGTATCGTAAGCGCCATCAGGCTCTAGCTCTTGACCATGCTCACTTCTGTCGCTGATCGTAGGAGGGAAATAGGCTTGGAGGTAAGTAGGTAGTCATTGCGACTCAGAATATCATTGAAGTATACTTTTTTTCAAATCCAGCTGTGAAAGCCATCACGGCCGCTCAGCTGTCCATGGCGAGCCACGGGGTGTACAGTGCTCTTGACAAGGCTATCAAAGCGATGCGGCTGACTGCTGCGGATATGAGCGTCAAATATAAGGAGACGAATCTTTCGGGGTTGGTGGTGAGTGGAGAGTGATTGGATGAATGTTTATGCATGCTGATGGTTTGTACAAGATGACTGTGAAGATACCTTTGACTGTGCCTGCCTGCTAAGGACTTTGATGACAGTTAGATAGATCATAGAGCTTTGTTATGAGGACCGATAATAGAGTACTGCAGTACGTTTCTAACTTCCTGGATCTGGACTTGTATGATAGATTGCAATCCCTATTGGTAGACAATATTGACATCTATGATTCCTTTGAAGAAATAACGAAAAGAAGGGTGGAAAATAAGTAAAACTGAAGAAAGTAGATGAAGGTCTCGAACACGGGAGATGATACATAGCTCGATGTGCAGCGTGCAGGCAAAGAATGGGATGTAGGACAATAGGGTATAAATCAGAAAAAAGGTGGGATTAGATGTAGAGAATTATAAAGTATCTAGCTCAGGAAGCCGCGGCACTTGACAGAGCCGCAGAGACAAGGAATCTTGTCTTGCTCAAATGGGAAATGATAATCTGATTGCGTCAATTAGATGAGCAGAGTTGAGAGGACAAAGGAAACGCACCATAAGTAAATTCGTCGCCCAACCCTAAATCCTGTTTTGCGTAGATGACAAATTCTTTCACCCACTGATCGTAATGATCTTATGTAGCGATGCAATTGGGATCCCAAGAATGGTTGATGAGTCAACTGCCAAAGTCTTTGATCAGAAAAAGGAAGATAAGAGAGAGGAAACTAACAGACCGAAGATCCCCTTTCTTTGGCACCACCAAATCCTCATCAATACGGAAGAGGTAACTGCTTCCAATACCCCGGCGCTCATATGTCTTCTCCCGCTTCTCAGCGACCTGCGCCCGAATAACCTCCCCAACGTACTCAATCACCATCTCAATGCTGTATCGTGTGTGTTTCCGGTTCCATAAGTAATAGTTATTGCGTGGATGATGATGAGGGTTATATGGAGACTAAGCTTGAGAAAATGGGAAAATGGGGAATGCGACGTTGGGAGTAAGAAGAAATGGAGTTGAGTGAAGTTGCAAAGTCGGAAACGAAGAATGAGAAATTGGGATACGAAGGATGCGAATTGGAGAAACGAATGCGATGGTAGGAAACGAAGAGTGTGAGGTTAAGGGCGAAGAATGTGAGATTGAGAGAAAGAAGAATGTGAAGTCGAGAAACGAAGAATGTGAAGCTGAGAGAAGGGAGGAAGTGAAAGTCGAGAAACGAAGAATGCGAAGGAAAGTATCTTGAAACTTATCGTCCTGCCAATCCAGTCCATTCAGCCTCAAGTCTTGGAGGCTATCACCACGACGGTGTTGCCGTGTGCAAGAAGAAACCCCCCTGCTTCGAGCTGTATAGCCTGTATTTGAGTAAACGAACTATCCTTCTAATGGGAGAGAGAAACGCACGTCCTTGGCCGAAGACGAAGGCATGAAGTGTCCATGTTTCCCTCTCGACAGCATTTCTTGAGCAGCAAAACAAGGTGATTAGCATATTCATGGCTCGCGGAGCGCCTCGATTTTCTGTTCAAGTTGCATGAATTCGAAGAGGGCCTCGGTCCGAGCTTTGTGGACTGTGGAGTCTTTTGACCAGGAGCACTGTCATGAGATGAATGTCTAGCTGGGGAAGTGGGGCGTAGTGAGGGTTGCGTACCTCTACCTCCCAGCCTGACTTAAGACAACTACCACATACGGATCTCTGATCGTCGCACTTTGTCTTCCTACAATAATGATTCAGCTTTCTTGGAGACGTGAATCAGTCTTAAGCGTACATAATTGTGCACAGCGTGTCTCATCTGAAATATACCCTGCAAAGTCAATGGTGTGTTGAGGCTTCAGAGCGAATGATGTTCTTGAACTTTTCTCCAGACCACCTCCAGACCACCACGCGCCGTCTCCAGGCATCCATATTGCTCTATAATGGGTCAGTAAACATCGTTGTACGTTCAAAAGGGCTAACTGATAGTCATCGGCGATAGGTATCCCCAAGGTTCGTCGCTGTTCGGATGATTTTGGCGATTATTGACAATTCTTCAGTTCTTCCGATACGTCTCGTTTGTTGGTTTAATTCGCCTCGTTCCAACCCTTTCTGATCGTGACTTAGAGAGAGATACCCATTGACCTCGCAGTTGATACAAGAGAACAACATTCCAGAGTTTGGTGGGTGGCGTATGACCTGGAAAGGGCGTATCCAATGACATTACTCTCAGACAATCTTTACCTGGATTTCAACGGAATCATCCACAACTGTGCGTTTCTTTTACTCAGAAGTTGTTTTCCATACTGAAACCTTCTAGGCTCTCGCCCGAATGATGAGGACGCCCATTTCCGACTTACAGAAGAGCAGAACAACACTTCGATATTCACATATGTGGATCGACTCTTTGGCAAGATCAAGCTGAAGAAACTTTTCTTCATGGCGGTGGATGGGGTGGCGCCGAGGGCGAAGATGAATCAGTAACGCAACAGGCATTTCAGAACCGCGAAGGAGGCAAAGGTGGTCCAGGAGAAAGCTGAATTGAAGGGCGAGAAGTTGCCGACGGGGAAGGCGTTTGATAGCAATTGTATCACACCGGGTGAGTTTCTATCCGTCTTTTTGGTGCAGCGCTCCTTTCTGCCACGTCATTCCACTGAGTGATTTTCACCTTTGTATACTCCTTTCAACCCTTTCACTCTGAAGACCGAAACCAACCCATATCTCGCCCTTCATTTTCCACCGGACGCTTAACTTCTTCTTTCTTCTCCATTTTGCACACCCACTTTGCATGTCTTTCGGTCGTCGGCCTTCCCACAACTCTTCTTGCGCACATACGTCCAGAAGAGATCCAGTCATTGACACATGGGTTGAAACTACTTCCGCCCTTTCTTCTATACGTACGCCGAACATTTCTTTCTTCGTCATATATAGCTTGTGCTGACAACGTTCATTAGGGACACCATTTATGGCACGTTTATCCGACCAGCTGCGGCATTTTAGCAACAAGAAGATTTCGGAGGACTCGAATTGGCGCGATGTCGAAGTGGTGCTATCGGGGCATGAGGTCCCCGGAGAGGGCGAGCACAAGATTATGGAGTACATTCGCCTATCGCGCGCGCAGCCTGGTTACAACCCCAACGTTCGACATTGTCTGTACGGCCTTGATGCCGACTTGATCATATTGGGGCTGTTAAGCCATGATCCCCATTTATGTTTGCTTCGCGAGGAGGTCAAGTTTGGCCCAGCGTCGCGGAAAAAAGGGAATACGAGGTACTTGATTCTTTTTACCCCTGTTGGCGGGACAAATGGTCTTTCTTATCACACTAGCTTAGAATCGGTGAACTTTTATCTACTCCATCTCTCGTTGATGAGAGAGTATCTTGACCTCGAATTCCACGAGATTCAACCGATGTTGCCGTTCGACTATAACCTCGAACGGGTGATTGACGATTTTATTCTTCTCGCTGTCTTTGTGGGGAACGATTTTCTCCCTGATCTTCCCGATCTTCGTATACATGAGAATGGGCTCGAGAAGTTGTTTGATGTATACAGGAAAGTATTGCCGGGTTTGGGTGAGTGTCTTCCCGCTCGCTTTTTGCTGCATTTCTAACCGTCGTTGTAGATGGTTATATAAACGAGGGAGGAGTGATCAACACGAAGAGACTGCAAGTCATTTTGGACAAGATGACTCAATGGGAACAGGGGGTGTATGAGAAGGAGTATTCCGATTTGAATTGGTACAAGGGGAAACAAGCAAAACATGTCAAAGAGATAGAAGACGGGCGGAAACGGGAGAAGCTAGGTATGTATGCTCTCAATGGGATAACCTTTTACGCAATGCTGACGTTGGTGACAGTTTTAACTATGGCGCAGAGGGAGATCTTCGATAAGATCAAGGCGTTTGTGATAGAGAACAGGAACGCGCCCTCGCCTTCACACTACCGTGCCGCAAGGCTGACGATGATAAACTCGTTCCCTGCGAGGGAGCGAGTATTCATCACCAAGTTGACGGAGGATCTACACCTGAGTGTGACGTGGGACGAGTTTGATGAGGAGGACAGGAATCTGGTGACGTGTTGGTTTCCGAGAGCGCTGGAAGATGAGCCTGAGACGGGCGAGCAGAAGGAGGATAATGAGTGGGAAGACGAGGATGAGGTTGAAGACGAAGAGAGCAGAGCAGCGATTGATCGTGTGCTTAAGAAGTATGAGAAGGCGCCTGTTGAGGATGTTGATGCCGATGGGACGCGGTATGAACGGTCTTTGAAAGAGAAGATGGACGAGTGGAAGCGGGGTTATTATAAGTTTGGGATCTTTCTGTTGTTCTCAAGTCAAGTTTGAGCTGACAAGACACCAACGCAGGGGAAGCTAGGGATATCTTACGACGACCCGACTGAAATGGGTGATCTGATCTACTGACCTGCAGTGGGCCATGCACTATTACTACAGTGGAGTCGCATCGTGGGGATGGTTCTACAACTATCATTACGCTCCTCGGATTCCAGGTGTGTCGTCGGTTTGGATGTTGGATGTTGCTCATGTTGCCAATCACAGATTTGCAGGAAGTTGACGAAATGTCTTTCGATTTTCAGCTGGGAACGCCATTCAAGCTGTACCAGCAGCTTATGGGCGTGTTTCCCGTTGCTAGCATGGATTACATTCCGCTAGCTTATCAGGTAGATATCGACGTTCGGATATGATTGCCGGCTGACCGTTCTTCGAAGGATCTCATGTATGATCCAAACTCACCGATTATTGACTTCTACCCTCCCGAGTTCGAGCAAGATCTCAATGGGAAAAGGCAAGACTGGGAGGCAATTGTCACATTCATTGATCAAGAGAGGCTGCTGAAGGCAATGACTGGTACGTTCCTAGCCAAAGTATGGTCTTATGACACCAACGTATATATTTACTTTCAGCTCGTGATCATTGTCTCACCCCCGAGGAGAGAAAAAGGAACACTTGGGGCTCGAGCTCGAAGTTCAGTTTCAACCCCGGCGAGCTCACTCTCTATCCTTCATCTCTGCCTGGATTCTTCCCCCCTCTCTAGTGTCGATGCACGTGCAAGACGGAGCCGTTCGACCTCCCTATTCTTGATGGGTTGCATCTCATTCCCGGTCTTTGCGGCGGTGTATTCCTCGGTACAGAAGCTCTGGCTGGATACCCATCGCTCAAAACGCTTCCACACACGGCGCTGCTGGGATACCACGGCGTAAACGTCCATGGTTCGGAAAGCCAGAACAAATCGATGGTGGTGCATATATGAAACCCGTATGAGGGGATGAAGACGGAAGAAGTTGAAGATGATTGGCGAACGGACTTTCATGGGTTGGCCGTTCCTGCAGGAAGGATCGGTTGTGGCGGTCTCTGATTCGTTGTTCAAGTACGAGAAGATGACAGTCGTGCCTGGGACACCGGCCAAGGTCGTCTCAAACCCACACGCGCCTCAAGGATTGGGCCATTGGAAGATGAAGGCCGATTGTATCGAGCAGATTTACTCTAAACGATCAGGAGTCATTACACGCACTGTTGACATTCTCCTACACGTCCTTCCTCTAAAAGGTGAGTGTCTTATCTACCCTTCAATGGGACGTTGCTGACACTCTACAACGTTAAGGTCTGAAACGATTGGAGTCTGGTGCCTTTGTGAAGGACTATGAGGGCCCAGAAAGGGAAACGGAACACGCGGTGCAGATGTGTCTTCCCGAAGTTGCTTCAGAAGATCTTCGCTCCCTCGAACGCGACGCACCTCCTTTGTCAGAGGAGTTCCGTGACAGTAGCAAGATTTTCATCCTGGGGGAACACACGTATGGGGTGGCTGCTTCGGTCTCTGCCACGACCGAAATCAGTTTGTCTGTGATACTTGGAGTACGTCTTTCACTAATTCTGTATCATAACGCGCTCTTGAACCCATCACCGTATAGTTCTTCCTGGCCGAAATGGCTGAGAATGACCAGTTCAAAGCCGTCGTACAGAATCGACGATCTAGCCACTACTTCCCCTCTTTTAAAGCTGCAGAGACGGTTGGAATCTCGGGGCGGGCTTTGGGGAAGATTACATCAAGTTTCATGATCACCATGTCTGATGAACAGAGGACCAATGTCGGCCTGAGCCTCAAATTCGAAGCGAAGGCTTTGAAGGTCGTCGACTATTCTCGCGAAGAGGGCCGGCATTGGGAGTATAGCGAGAGGGCAATCGACCTGATCCGAAAGTACAAGGTCTGTTGGTTTCTACGGGCTCTGACACTTCATCAAGGTTTTCGGGTTTCCCATGAATGAGGTCTGGATGGTTCAAGAGTGCGTTAGACGGGGATTTTCCAACCCAGAAGACAATGTCTATACGGAAGAGTTCGACGTTGAGCCTGTCTTTGAAGCGATTAGGGAACAGAGTCGCATCCAAGGGCTCCACATGAACAGCGTTTATGTACGTCGGTGACGGACTCAGTATACTTTTCTGGGAAATTCCATACCAGATTTGGAAGGCACCTCGCACCCCGAAATTGGAGCCTCGTCTGGAAGAGTTCCTACGGCTGGCAAACCTTCCTTTAATGAGACCCACTATGTATGCTTCGGTGGACGGAGACTTGCCGAAGATTTTGAGGGTTGAAACAAGCGCCGCCGTGGATAGAAAAGATGAGGGTAGAGAGCTCTCCCCTATATCGGCCGCCCAGCGTATGTTTCCCCTTTGCTCACGCTCTTGCCGCTCTCGACTCACCATGTCAAACTAGCGTCCCCTTTTCACAAAGCAAGACAGATACCCCGCGCGTGCTACTACTGCACACGTCCAAAAGTGGTTTTCTGGTCCACCAACGTAGTGCTCTAGCTGACTACTATCGCAAACGCCCAAGCTTAGATGTCTTCGGGACTTTAGTGCATGCCACCCATCCTCCCATCTATACTCACAGCCAGTGTTTATGTGTAATCAACACGCCTCTCCATACCGAGCGCTCGATCTTTCTTCTGTATACTATGTGTTCGACAATTTCCTTGTTACAACGCGATACGGCATCCTTTGCATCCTATAGTAATAACCTCCAGCTGGAGGTTGACTTCGTCTACATACTCTACAATTGCTCTACAAACTAACATGGAAATCTCATACCAAAAAACGAGTTTCATACTCTATATATGAGAGGATAGCGGCCTTCTAATTATCTGTTTCTGCAACCAGTCTGATGGGACAAAGGTCCAATAGATACCTGAGGAAGACAGTGAGCGAGTTTGCCAGTGAAAAGCTCAAAGCCTCAACCACATACTTTCTTGGCCCTAATCGTACTTTTGATTGCCGTGATTGAGGTACATTTATATATTTTAGTTTTTTTTGGAGACAAGCGTAACAGTACACGGGTTGAAGCAGGGTTGAAGTCAAGTTGAAGTGAAAAGCGGCCACCAAACATTGACTAGTGACTTCTCACTCAAACCACCACCTCGCTCATTCCGACGCGACATGAATGCCATCTTGACGCCCTTCCAAAACCACTCTAATTGTCTATAAGGACACGCGGCGCCAAAACAAGAGGAGGTACTTTCCGACACTTCTGAAATCACGGACTCGGAGCAACCTGAAGCAACTGAAGTTTCTAAGGTCTCCGAACATTTCCAAGCCTCATTGGCTCGATTTGCCTTTGCCCACTGGCATTCGTCGAATCAAAATCCAAGGCGCACGGCAAAGCCACAACGACCCAGAGGAAGCCACGAAATCAGGATCATGCAAAAGATTCGGACAGCCCAGTACGCTCAAGCTCTCGCATAAAGGATCTGAGGACCAGAAAGCGGTCGATGTCGGCACTTGACGAAGGTCCTAACAAATAGGTCGGTCGTTTAGAACATGGCTCTCCCTCCAAGAAACAGAAACGCGGGTATGCCGAGCCGTCTACATACGCTCACATGCGGGAATTTCGGCATCACTTGAAGAGTGGGTTAGAAGGTGAGTAAATCGAAAGCTTGAACATTCCGAACCAATTTTTGACATTCTCGTTTAGTAGTTTTTTGTGGTATCAAGTGAGTTTGTCGGACTGCCAACCTCAGGCTCCAGTGACACGCTTATGATCGTTCTCAGCCCCGGTCAGACGTCCGCTGAGATAGGGCACCATTTTGGTGGCCCAACGAATCACTTCTGGAGCTGCCTGTACGAATCAGGCTTCACTACACGACTTCTCCGTCCTCAAGAAGACTTCACTCTTCCAGAACAGTTTTTGATCGGGATGGTACGCCTTCTCTCCTTTTATCAGTGAGCGCGGCACGGGTATTCACGCCTTCATAGATGAATCTGGTTGATCGTCCAACAGCTGAGGTATCGGTACCTCTCATGCAAGTTCCCAGTCACCGACGAAACCATCATCTGTAGCAAAGCGAGCTATCCAAGGCCGAGCGAATCGCGGGAGTTCTTGCTCTCCTCGCCAAGATCGCCACACATCGCCCCAAGATTGTCTGCTTTGTCGGGCTGGGAATCGCGGACATCGTCAAATCCAAAGTGATGCCGGTAATTGTGAGATTGTCTTCGTTCTAGTCCCCGTCATTTACTCCTCGACAGGCCGATAAGGGACGAAAGATGAAGGCGGCCATCGGAATTCAGCCCTACAAGCTTCAGTATCAAGATGACCAAGGCAAGGAAATCCCCTCAGTCTTGACTGTTGACAGATGGTGATTTGGTTCCTTGACAGCATGCCCCAAGGAAACCCTCTTCTACGCTGTGTTGAGTACGTCGGGTCGTGTAATTACGTACCAGGCAAGTCCTCGTCCAGAAGCTCCCCACTTCGGTTTTTCTCATTCCAAACTTGTAGAAAAAGGATAAGGTGAACCAGTTCAAGGCTTTGAAGTCGGTCTTGGAATCTTCACGGACCAGCAATTTTGATACCTACTCTCTTCATGCTCTCCAACTGAACGATCTACAAGAGTAATTTAATTTCATGCCCCACCATGCGAATGTATGTTCAAACATGTAATCACATACTATGTCACGGAAGAATGATCAACGTTCTATGTACTTTTTCACGTAATCCTCCACGCTGCGTTGACAAATTGTCCTCCAAGGGGATCTCTTCGCGATGGGTCGCCAAAACGTTGACCTTTGTTGTGAAGTAACCTCAATACAATGATGGGGGCAGACCTTGAAACGATGACTCGGGTCCGTTCTCAACGAAAAGAGCAAAGAGCAAGAAATTATAAGCAACTACACAAACGATACAAATACACAAATCATAAGCCTCGAAGTCTACTCATCCTGATCACTATCCATGTCCTCATCGCTATCACTATCCTCTCCTCTAAGGACCTCAATAGGTTCGAGACCAATGTCGTGGTCAGCGCTAACGTAAGAATCACAAATGACGTAGAGATTCAGTGAGTGCAGTACTTCGGCAACGTAAACTCAAGAAGTTGGCGAATTGGTGGCTCGTTGTGGGAAACCCTACCTCCCGCCAGCTCGTCATCAAGCGAGTCACGGTGACGAAGAGTCTTGCCGTCAAACTGGAGGGGATAGAATGGTGCAACAACGTTTTGAATCTTGATCCCCATCATCTTCCTCATCTGTGTCACGTGCCAGCGATACCTGGAGGATGATTGGCGCGCCTGTGGTGTATTCCCCTTTGACGAGCTCATGGGAGATGTCCAGGGTGAGGTAGGAGTTGACAAAGGTTGCGACATCTCGCCTGAAATGACGTGAGCCTCAATCGTAGGAAAAAGTTTGTGATTCTTAGATTTGGGCGGGCGTCATCTGGAGCAACTCGTTTCTACGGTCGTCCTCGAGCTCCATAATGTCAAAGACAGAGTCAACACCAGCGTCCTTACAATGCTTGATTACCTGAAGCGATCATGACTTGTGAGCAAAAAAGTCTTCTACAGCGTGAATTTGCTCACCTCGGTCTCAAAGTGAGTGATCTGTTTCAGAGGCGAATCCGTTCATCACATGGCTTGTACACACATCTGCGATAGATCCATTGCACCCAGAGCGCTTAGCCAAGCGCTAGAAGACATCACATCAACACTGGGCGATAAAAGATTGAGTACTTTCTCCAGGACGAGAACCTGGTCAGCAGCCAGATCAGGCGGCAATTGGAACCGCGAGAAGTGAGCTTGAAGGAGCAAGAACGTTTTGAAGTGGGGGACCTCGAAGTCAGCCCGCTCTAATTTGACTGGGACACGGTCATAGATACGACGAAGAAGGGCATCTTCATGTCTCCGAATCGGGATAGTCTCAAATTCGGCCGATGACGACACAACCTCGACAAGGCCTTTCAACTTCGTACGCTCCTTGAGAGACAATGTGTACACCTCGACCGTCACATCTAAGAAGCGGATAAGCCACTGGGTGACTTCAAAGTGATGGGCACTTACATGAGATATTGTAGTGGGCAGCGATCATTCCAAGATTGAGCGCCGACACGTCAATTTCGTCCTCTGAAGAAAGGATCAGACAGAGTAGCAGGAAAAAAGGGAGAAACCTACCAATTGCGATACACTTTGAATTCACGAGATCACTCAAAGTGTTCTCTACAAGTTCTGAAGGGTGGTCGGATAGATTCTGATGGCTGACATTGTGCAGATTGTAATAGTTCGGGTTTTGAGTCATTCGGCGGTAGAAGTAAGTCCAAGTGAGGATATCCTGAGGGATAGATCGTGAAAACAATGAAGAAACATGATCGGGAGTCGCTTACCATAGCATCTTGCTTGTTCTCAATGGTTTTGACTGCGATCTCCGCGAGGAAGTAGTCATGGAGGAGATGGGTTGGGAGATGTGACTCAATTGGAAGCCCTTCGGCAAAGAACGTCTTGTAAAAGTCCTTACGTGTTTGCTGGCACATGAGAACACATTGACTGCGCTCATCTTCCATTGGCCAACAAGCGCGGCCCATCATTTGGAGAACGTCCATGACTGGATAGTCGATGTAACGATGCTCCTTGCCCTCATAGAACTGAACGCCCATGATGATCACCATGTAACTTGCCACCGGCAAGCTCCAAGCTGTGTCTTTCAATGCAACAAGCAGTTGGATAGCTCCGGACTCAAACAGGCGCTGAACGATCCGTTTGTCCTGCTTATCGAGAGCCTCGTGGTAGTATCCGATACCGTGTTTGAGCGTTTCAACGAGGCCCTTGTCGCTGATGTGGTCCAGGTGAGGTTGTAAGTCGTCAAGCTCGATGTTGAGGAACCGATCAGGTTTATCGTCCGCTAGGCAGTGAGTCAGAAGGTCGTCGACCCTAAGGCGGCACTGTCGCCTGGAGGGAACAAAAACGATGACGGGTTTTGAGGGGGAGTATTCCAGAACAGCGAGGTAAAC